TGTATAACCAGTCAAGTAGAGATGTATTATCGTATGATATAAGTTGTTTAAGATATATAATGTTTTTTGTACATAGTCAGAATTTTCTTATATTGCATAAAAATACATTTTAAAATTGCACGAATATGGATATTCTAGATGTGGTATATAAAAAATTTACTAATTAATTTTGGTATAGCCAGCTTACAAACTAATAAATACACACAAAAAAGAATTTGTCACATTTAAAAACATGCAGATAGATACGCAATATATATATATATATAGTAAATTAATATTTATCACTAATAAGCCAAACTCAAATGATTCAAAAAACTCAATAAGTAAATAAATTATTAGTGAAACAATATTTATTATTGTTCTATTTTGAAAAAGAATTAGAGTAACTTTAGTTATCATGACATTTATTAAAGATGTAGCACGACCTTTAGCCATATAATTAATGAAACGATAATACTAATATATTCATTTATACATATTATTGACCTACTCCTTAAGTTAAATCCTACATATAACATCTCAATCCAGCATTTAGAACTTACATATTGTTAATATAACTATATAGTGTTAATATAACTATATAGTATTATCAATAAATAGTAAAAACATCCACTTCTAAATGATGTTCTAGGGTTTAATAATTATTTTGGATTATTTTTGCACAGTGAATATAGAAGCTAGAAATGGGTTTTACAATGATTTTTTATTATTGATATACTTTAAACTATATAAATAAGTTATCCAGGCAATTGATTTATATCAACTAATCATATGAATATCTTTCTATGAATCCATTAACCTGGGTCAAAACACTAGTATATACATAGTAAATTGATATTTATCAAATTGATCAAAAATTTAATATGAGAATAAATTATTACATAACGAAATTATATTTATTATCGTTATATTTTAAAAAAATAATTAGAATAATTTAATCTTATCTTTATTATCATAACCTTTATTAGAGATGTAACATGAACTTTATTATATAATTAATGAAATAATAATACTTATATATTTATACATATTATCGACCTACAATGGTGCTCCAAGTCACTTGTCATCAAATGCACTAAATTTACAAAATATTAATATATATATGTTATTAAGGTGCCAATTTATTCCAACTTTCATAAATTATATATTATATACCAATTTTATATAGATCTCTATAATAAATTAGGGCACCAATTTTATAGGTAATTTGATAAGAAGTGACTTGGAGCACTATACTTAACCCAAAGTTACTAATGTTTTAACTTTATGATATTCAGATAACATAAAATATGAACATTAGTACAAGCTTATTAATATTACAAATAATATGCATAGAATTCTTCAAGTTAAATCTTACATAAACATCTCAATTTAGCATTTAGAACTTACATATAGTTAATATAACTAGAATTATCAATAAATGATAAACACATCTGCCTTTAAACGACGTTCTTGGGTTAATGATTATTTTTGCACAGTAAATATAGAAGCTAGAAATGGGTTTTACAATAATTTTTTGTTAGTGAAACGTTATATTTCTAAAAAGTACTTAAAACTATATAAATTACTTATTTAGTCAACTGATTTATATCAACCAATCATACTTATGACCCACGGGTTAACCCATGGTCAACCCAGGTTGATCCGTAGGTTGACTATCTGGGTTGTTATAACTCAATCCGGGTGACCTACTCACTTGCAGTAACCCAGGTAAGACCCACCTGGGTCAAAACAGATAATTTTATTAAAATTATATAATATAAAAAACTTCTACCTATCCAAATATTCTGACTTTTTAATATTATTCTTGCATCATTCTTAGAATATATTCTACAAGTTACTTTTCTTACAAACTAAAAATTACTCAACTCTCTAGCTCTATTACTAAACAAATAAAAAGAACTCTTAAACTTTTACTTAATACCAACAATGACATTCTTACAAATCCTTAACTTTTAAATATTCTAACCTTTTATAAACTCCTTATCTACACTAGTTGTAGTATTATCAAAAAAACTATCAATTTATCTCTTTTTCTAAAACAAATATTCAAACTTCAAATTAAAGAATAGCTTTATAAAATTTGGCAACCAACAATTTTTACAGATATAATTTAGCAACATAAACAAAAAATGTTAAACTTCACTAACCTTTTTTTTAATCTATATTGCTCAGTACAATATTAATATTAATAATCTAATTGATAATACAAACAATCCTCTAAATAATCACAAATTAAACTCAATTTACAACTTCATTCTAAACTATCAACTATTCAAAGTCTTAAAAACAACCATATCTTTTATATCAAACAACTTCTTACATTTGATAATCAATACCTTTTACTTTGGAATAATATTTATCTTAGAATATACAAATCTCTTCGAGGTTCAATTCTCTTATAGTATAAATATATAAAAAATCTTATAACTGATAATACTATATCTTCAATCTGGTCATTAATCCAATTAGAAAATATTAATCTTTTTACTAATATACTTATAGTCAGCCCTCTCTAAATGCATGACATCAGGATCATAATAAAAAATTGAGAAAATATGCATTTAAAGAGGTTATACATTTAGAAAGATAAAAATCTATAAATGTTATATTAGTTGGACTTAAGAAAAGACATGCATTTAGGGAGATTATATTTAGAGAGATCTGACTGTATATTAATTTCATTATTATTTACAATTTCTAAAAAAAACAACTGAACAATTTTTACTAATATATCTAATTTTCAAATAAGAAAGATTATTTCTACTATGCAAAATAACTTTCTCTTTGAAAACTACTCTATCCTCTAAAAAACACTAGTGATTATTATTCTTCAACCTTCTTCACAAATATCTACAATTCTTTTTTCTTCTACTATTAATTTCCTTTGCAAAAGTCAAAAAAACAATCCTACAAACTTTCTATTGACTACCAAGAAATATTATTACTAATACAAATTGCTACTTCGTTATATCAACCTACTACTCTAGAAAACACTTATATTCAAATACAAAATCTAAATATTGAATAAATAACTAACTCTATTACTACTTCAGCATACCAAATATAACTTATTAATATTTACTAACAAATTTTATTAGGCCCATTAGAAAATCATTACTTTTATATAGATGCTTTAATTAAAAATATGCAATCAGCTAATCATAAATCTGGTATTGGTTGGATTTTAAAAAACAATACCAAAATTAAGTTCTTCGCAGGTATTACAAACACTACTAATACCACAAGAGCTAAATTAACACCGATTATTTTTATACTTCTTTCAATACCACAAAATTTATATATTCAAATTTATTGTAACAACTTTTTAACAATTCAAACTCTTAAAAAACTACTATATCATTACCAAACACAAATCAAAACTAAAAACTAAGACTATTTACACATCATTAACAATCTTCTCCAAAAGAAAAATATATCCTTTACTATACACAAAGTTAAAGCATTCTCAAAAAATGCTTTAAACTGAAATGCTGATATTTTTGCTAAAAGAGGTGCAAACAGATCAACAATTGAACTTAATCTAAACTACCTTTTAACTTTTCCTTTCTTTTTATAATACTATACTCCACTCACCTCACAAATTTATCAAAAACCTAATTTTATCAAAACTTTTAATAAATTTCTTCAACTTAAAAATATTTGCAATATTCTTCAATTTAATATTAAAATTTTTATAACTATTTTAAACTCCTACAATTACTCCATTAACAACCCTAGTGATCCCCTCTATAAGTTATCAGTAATCACACCATTCATGCGTTACGAATTCCCGGGGTATTATCGAACGTGTCGAACAAAAAGTGTTACATATTAGCAAAGAAAATAATAATGAAGGTTTATACAAAGGAAAATTTTTAACAAAATTTTCGCAACAATAGATAGTCCGTATAGCCTCCAAAGTTTGTAACGTTTTTTTTTAAATCCAGATTAACGGGATTGAACATTTAGATAAATTAGTAAGAGAAAAAGGGTGTTTATTCACAATACAATTATAATGTGTTAAAGTTTGTTATGTTTTCTGTGTATTAGTAACAGATTGTTAGAGGTTACATATTCAACCGTTTTGACGTAAATTTTTGACCCGTTTTGACACGGTAACCCGGTTCTAAACTCTAATGTCTACCACGTTTGGCAGGGGTACTGCCATTGGAAATTATAAAAGAATCGGCATTGACTTTTCGCTGTTAAATGTAATATTGAGTTATCAAATATTATGTAATGCCAAAAATGAAGTTCTAAATAAAATAATAATAATAATAATTACTTTCTTTTCTTCCTGTACAGGTTGTGCTGCTGCTTCTTCGCCATGTTCTTTTTGTATAAGATTGATAAGCGTGGTACAACGTCGGGCAATCTCTCCAGCGGTCCTCGACTTAATAAACCAATTAAACCTAAACACTTCAGCATTTTCAATTTCATTCCGTATTTTCTCATACACATCCTCAGTTCCATATCCGTATTTTGCGAGTGCTATTAACAGATATCGATCTTCTTCTTCCGAAAATAATGTCTTTCCCTTTGCTTGATTTGATACTTGCAATTGATGACCAGGTGTTCGATATTGTGCCACCTTCGCTCTAAGTAGTTCCTGAATACCAACTGTCTGTTGCAGTTTACTTTCGCCTTTGACAATCTTTGCAATAATTTCTTCATGATCTTCGTAAATTTAAAGTTGATTGGTTTTTTATGTAGCTTAATCAAAACGATTTAACAATTAGAATATAAACATACTAGGTAATTCCTGATAGCGCTGCCAAAAGACTTTAGCATATGCCTTTACTTCGTCTAAAGTTTTACCTTCTATTTCAGAAGCTATTTCCTGAAGTGCATTTCTACAACGAATTGTCAAATAATATCAATATTTAACCATGCCAACATAGCCGATTCCTTCAAATGCATACCTTCCATATTTAGCGGATGCATTCACAAAATTATTGTAATCTCTTTTACTCCAGTCTTCGAAAATCTATAAAAAATAAGATATAACTTATTTGGTGGCAAAATGAACAGACAATACAAAGTTTACATACATTCTCCATTAACGCTTCTTTTTCTGCTTCTTCTTCTTCAGTCAATGCTTCAGCTAAATTTATAATTTTAAATATGAGATTAGTTTAGATCACAGATTGAATGATACCGAAACTTGAATGATACCATTATCAATCTTGGCCTGTTCTTCTTGACGCTCTCTTTCACGGGCCTCTATGTCATCTTCATTCTCACCCTGAGGCTCTGCTAAGGCAACTTTATAGCTCGCTAGTTTCTACATAAAAATTATATATCAATTTCTGAATTTAAATAACGACTTTGACACACACGCAAAATAAACATACCTGTTGATAATACATCTCTCGTTTTAATAATTCTACTAACCGTGGGGGATAGAATTGAAATTCGTTGCTAAAAAAAGTATATATATATATATAATAACTATCATCGTAAAATAATTTGTAATTTAGAAAATATGCAAAGTATGATACAAACATAACTATTTGTTTAGGTGCTCTGGGTACTTTAGGCTGAGTTGGTTTGGCTGTAAGCCGTAATGCTTCTCTATAATATGAGTCAACGGCATAATTTGCTTTACGTTCTCGCTTGGGCGGTTCAATCCAACTAAAGCGCGATGTTTGACCCTTGCGCTGAAGAATTGTAAAACTTAGGCATTACTATTATTATTGATTTTTTTTAAGGGAAATAACAAACCTTACTACTCCAATCTTCCCCTTGCCATTGATAAGCCGACTCAGACGTGAAGTTTTGTAAATCATCCAATCCGAGACTCTGATACTTCATACTAAGTTCAGCCGTCTTCTCTTCGCCTTTACGTAAAATGCTCTCAATATCATCATTTGTTACAGTGCTACAAAGAAAACAACACGATTAAATCCAGTCGAATGATTTAACGGTTTGCGGAAATATTCATTTTATTACCTATCGCTGGAATTGAAAACATTTTCTGCTCCATGTTGAATCATTGTCAAAAGCTCATCCTTAGAAGCAGCTATGATACACAATTATATGTCAATATAGCTATATATGAACAACTTACGAATTAATTGAGACTACATTTTTACCTTTTTGTGATTGAGTCAATCGGCCTTGCTGAATAACAAGTTGATCTAATCGCAATTTTTGAGCAGCTCTTTCTAGAACTTTTTCTTCAATAGCTTTCTATAAAACAATTAATACTATTAATCACAGTTTAATAATTAAAATAATAACACTAAATACAATAAAAACCCATACTTCAGTAACGAATCTAAAAACATATACTTGTTTGGTTTGTCCAATACGATGAGCACGGTCTTGGGCTTGTAAATCTACCTGTGGATTCCTGTAGAAGGATAATCAATGACTATGACAGTAGCCTAATAATTCTCAGCAGAATAATCCATACCAATCACTATCGTAAAGGATCACGATATCTGCGCTCGTGAGATTGATTCCAAGTCCACCAGCACGTGTTGTAAGCAAAAAAACGAATTTACTGCTGTCAGGCGCGTTAAAATCGTCTATGGCTGTTATTCGATCATCTTGTTTTGTTTGTCCATCAATACGACAGTATTCTTGTTAAGAAATTGAAAGTTTTGAGTATCAAGTGTGCGTAATCAATAAACTTACAATTAAATATGAAATTAACACTAACCAAAATCACGAAATATACAATAATCTTCCAATATATCAAGAACACGGCTCATTTGACTAAACAGAAGAACACGTGATCCTTGTGATTTTAATCTTTTGAGAAGCTTGTCCAATACTACCATTTTTCCTATATTAAATGTGTTGCAACGATTTAAGCATGTTTTTCAACAGCCATTATCAATTAAAATTAATAGCATAGTTCGAAAATAATCACCTGCATTATCAATAAGGTGTTCGTCAGTTGTATAAGGTGGGCCGGGTTCCTGCAAGCAAACCATAATTAATAATTACGAAAGTATTATAAAGGAAGAAAGAAAATACTTACGGCACCATCAAAAAGATATGGATGATTGCAACATTTTCTAAGTTGCATAACAATATTCAATAATCGTGTCTTGCTTTCACTTTTACTTACAGCACCTTAATAGTCAATTAGAAATAATATTGTTACTGCTAACATGAAATAAATTTCAAAATCAAAATAAAGAGTAACGCTTCTCACCATTAACTGCAGCAATGTCTTTTTTTAAAATCCTTTGGTACCATTTTTTTTGCATGGATGTCATCCCGACGTATATATTAACCTCCTTTTTTGGAAGCAAAGACTTTTCCACGTCTGATTTTATTCTCCTGAGAAGAAATGGTCGTAATACCTAAAAACCAGGAAATTTATTGAATTATATACAGAGGGTATCAAATGACTTTTTGAATATATTTCCTGTACCTTATGTAGTTGTTGGACTACACTGTCTTGATTGCCGCCTTGAGAATTAAACCAAGAATCAAAATCCTTAGAGGAACTAAAAACGTCTGGTAAAAGAAAATTTAGAAGTGCCCATAATTCGTGAAGATTGTTTTGAAGCGGCGTTCCAGTGATTAACAAGCGATTCCTTGATTTGAAAACCCTAACTATCTGAGAAAGCATAGAGTTTTCGTTTTTGATTCTATGAGCTTCATCAATGATAATATATTGAAATGCGAATTTTTTTAATGCAGCTTTTTCTATTAAACACATCTCGTAAGATGTTATGCAAACTTGGAAATCCTTAGGCATTAATCGTTCAGAAATTATTTGTGCCTATTTACTATCATAGTTAGTACTAGCATTATTCTTAGTCAACCAATATAATATAACAGATATCTTTTATTTACCCTTTCTTTCTTGTTTCCGTGCAGAACAACTATATGAAAATCTGGAATCCACATATTAAATTCTTTTTCCCAATTATGCAATGTTGATTTCGGTGCAACAACAAGATGAGGACCAGGTATATCTCGAACATATTTAAGATACCCAAGAAATGAGATCGATTGCAAGGTTTTGCCGAGGCCCTAAATTTTTTGAAAATACTATATGAATTTACAATCCAAATTTATATGGATTATAATGTATATCTACGTACCATTTCATCTGCTAGAATTCCGTTGATCCCGTTTTCGAAAAGTGATATCATCCAATTCAGACCTTGAAGTTGATAATCGCGCATTGTTCCATTCTTAATAACTTTAAGAAAAATTACATAATAAATCCCCGTTCAATCGAAATGTCACATAGCATTATTTTTATCCAGCACTTACAACTTACGAATTAATTGAGACTACATTTTTACCTTTTTGTGATTGAGTCAATCGGCCTTGCTGAATAACAAGTTG